ACATTAGGTCTGGAATTCAACTTCCAGATGGGCTGATCTCGGGCTCTGTGACAGGTTTGTCGTAATTCAGGATTTAATTACTCAATAAAAGGATATTTAACATCAATTTTAGTCAGGAAATTACCGAGACACAAATCAATTTTTTTAAGATTCACAATTCTTCAGTGGCTATGAGGAGAAATCAACATTCATTGTGTCTTCTACCGAAGATTTAATTCGATTGAAAATATGTGGGTTCAGAATGTACAAAAATATTCTTGTTTGACACAGCCTTTGTTGATAGTAAACTTACTAATTATTTTGAAACGACTACTCTAGAATCAAAGTTAGATTGCTCTAGAAGATGTCAAGATATGGAATACTGTACAGGGTTTTCTTACAAGGTAACTTCTGGGAGATGTGAACTTTATGATGAAGTTATTTCAACTGCACAAACTGAATTGGCTGCTGGAACAGTGACATACAAATTTAATGAAGGTAAAGTAAACAAATTGCTACATATTGTAACTAAACAAAACTAGATAATTTTGACAAGTGATTAAAATCACGTTTTGGTTGCGTACGAAGGGGCGAATCTGATTTAATTTAATTTGATATCTGATCTGTGAGCCGTAAAACGATTGCAAAAATTGTTTTTAGTTTCTCCCACATATGTTTGGGACGTTTCTTACATGATATTAGGTAAATTAAATTCGAGTTAAATTACAAACTGCCCGCAGTAATATTTCCCACTCTGCCATGGCGTATGAATGGGCTAAACGCTTGCCCATAGCTATCCCTGAAGTTTGCAAATATGTGTTACCATTAAATGTTAAATTGCAAAAATCTCGAGGAGATGTTGGACTTCTTCATTGAATCTGTTTGGGTCCAGTTTTATCTCAAAAACTTTACGGACTGCCCGCAGTATTATCATTTTTATACGCCCACATTATAATGTGGTCGTATATTGTCGTCACCCCTGTCCGACCGTCCACAATTGGCATGTGAACGCAATAGAGACAACAGTTTTTATCTGATTTGAATGAAATATTGTGTGATGATTTATACTTATGAGATCTTGAACAAGTTCGATTTTGGCTATGTTCGATGAACGGTTTTTGAGTTATTGCCCTTGACTTATGAAAAACGCGTCAAAATTTTGTTGTGATCATAATAGAGACTTTCATGCGATTTAAAAGAAATTTGGTGTGAATATTTATTATGATTAGATCTTGGACAAGTTCGAATTTGGCTATCTTTCGATGAACGGATTTTGAGTTATTGCCCTTGACTTAGGAAAAACGCGTCCAAATTTGTTGGCGATAGAAGTGGCAGTTTATGTCAGAATTTTATTATATGTAGGTTTGTTTAAATCAACAATAGCTTGCACAAAATAGATTTTTGGTATGATTTGACACAGATAGGTGACCGCCCTTGATATACTGAAAATGTATTAGGAAAGTAGGCAACCACTTGTCTTACCCCCTATTTTTCTGTTTTGTCTAGTTTGTGGTCCACCACAAAGTATCCCAAATATCAATACTCAGCCTGCTGATCAATACTATCTACCAGGTTATCTTATGTTGTATGACTGTCTTCCTGGCTCCTATCAGAACTCGTCTATTGTCTGCTCACAAGATGGAACATGGAACACATCGGCTGTAAGTTGTCAATATGGTAAGATCTGAAGTTTTTTCAAAATACAATGTATTTATTCTGTATATACAGTATGTCCATTCCGAGTTGCTTATAATTATTATTTTGTCAACATTATTTCATTTTCATTGTTTCTTTTGAACGTCTTGTATGTTGGAGATAACTAAATGTCTAAAAATAATTTTATTTCAGGTAAGACATGTGCCGATGCTGCTGACCATGGTGTATCTGTTGGGTCTACATTAATAGTTGAACCAATAGAATCTAGCGATCCAGTTCAGGTTAAATGTAAACATCGTTACAACAAATACGACACTATTATAGGTTGGTAAGCTTTTATAACATAAGGAAGGTATTGTTACAGGATTACACAATTCAAAAAGTTCATCACCATAAAGATTGGTCACCTTGTTGCGTAGTGTACTCGATAAAACATTGGTTTTACTTAAACGACATTTCATGATCATAAAGTCTAGTCGAAAATAATAAGACATTCAACATGTTACAAAATATTTGGGTGGGCGTGGTTAAATTCCAATTTATACTTTTTTTTATACGACCACAGATTAAGGTCGTCCTGTCTGTCTGTCTATCTGCAATTAATGTGGACACAATAAAGAGCTGGTTTCTTGATGGATTTTGATAAAATTAAGAGTGTTTGTAAGCACGCAAGGATGAACCCTATTGAAGAAAAGACAAATCGAAAAATGCTTGGAATGAGTTTTTGGCCTTGTTCTATAAAACGCGTTCAATTTTTATACGCCCACATCCCTCTATGTGGACGTATATTGTCGGCACCCGTGTCCGTCCATCCGTCAACATTTCCTTGTAAACGCTCTAAAAACTAGATTTTTTGATGGAATCAAATGAAATTCGGTGTATATACATATTCATAAAACGGAGATCAAGTTCGAATTTGAGCTATTTTCGACCGTTAGAAGCAGAGTTATTGCCCTTGCCCCAAAATCTTGAATATTTACCACCCGCATGCCGTGGTGGGCGTATATGGCTGTGGTCCTCTATCTGAGAGCCGGTCTCTTGATGCATTTTGATAAAATTTGGTGTGAAAGTTTGTTATCACTTAAGAATAAACCTTATTGAAAATCAGACAAATCGAAAAATAGTTCATGAGTTATTGCCCTTGTTTTTTTAGTTCAATTGTTGAAGGATTTACACTAAACGTACTGAAATATTTTATTTCCAAATGATATACCCTATAGATATTCAAAAAATATCTAAAAAGTATTTAATATGAGTAGTCTGGTAGAAATGATTTTCGTTTTATTTAAAAGTGCATGCCTAGTACTCTTCAGAGAAAATGGATGAACTCAAACAAAAATTAAAAAAAACCCCAAAAACACTAGAACAATGGACAGTACCCATGCAGTGAGTATCCGTCCTGATACATCGGTGAAATGTTGCATTTTAAAGTCATTTTTTTACCGAAAATAAAAGCATGTTAACCTTCGGTTATAGAATGTCGATAAACCTGTTAATGTTCGGTAATGAAAAGACGCATTAATTTAATAACATTCGGTAGTAAAATTTCAAAATCGTAAAACTAATAGTTAAAATCGATCAAAAAAGGACGCTATCATTGAACAGATCACGTCAAGCACTATAACTTTTGTTCCGGTCAAATAGTAAAGAAAGGCCAAATTAAAGAGATATGGGCCTTAAGAGTTTCGATATTTATTGTTTTTTTTTACGTCTATAAAACCGACAGTGAATGTTGGACATTACCAAAGTATGAATAGACATCTTCATTTATGTTAAAGTTCAAAGATAAAAATTTGAAAATTGTTAAACCTGTTCCCATTTTTTAAGTAAAGGCCCTAACAAATACAGCTTTATCACAAATTGTCCAAAATAGTTAACTATTTACATGTAATATTTCGAGGGCGACAATTGCAAATAATTGCAAATATTGGAGGTAAAGGTGAATGTCACCCAGATTTGCCGCGTCCACTTTTGTTATGATATGTATAATAATAAGTAATGTTTAAAATTCCGAATGTTTATACGGCGAAAACCAAATAACACATAGTTACCATAGAAGTTAAAAATTTTCAAATTGTTAGGAGTGCAATTTCGATAAAAAAATACCATAATATATCATTAAATGCACAATGAGAATAGAAGAGAAATTTGCACTTATGTAAATTAGGTCACGTGAAATAGCTCTTTAAAAATCGCGAATTTCAATTGGCTCTAGAACGGAAAGTTAACATGAGACTACAAAAGTGATGATCTAATCAGGGGCAACAACTTTGTTCAGGTCATATGGACACCAAAGGTCAAACTCACGAGATACGAGCCTTCAAAGTTTCGGAAATTACTGAAAACACAAAAACACCTCAATCACACAAATCGACTTTGTCGAACACATCAAGATGTCAATTTGTTCGATTCTAAAATTTTTATGAGCACAATTTTAACGAATTAGAAAAGAAACACCCAAATGACCGGGAGTGATATCAAAATTTCTGACAACTTGTCAATTTTCAGATCGATCGAATTAAAATTCTATAGGTTAAAAAAAACGCATAAATTAAAACTAAAAATGTCGGCGACAAAAGTCAAAATCTGAAAGTATAAAAATTGCAGTAAAAAGTGTTGAATAAAACACGAATAACGATCAAAATATAATCAAAATTAGGACCTTCATTATGAAGACTTTTTACATTTAAACAATAGGTGTAGGTATTCCTTGTAATCATTTTAGATTATGTGTTGCATGTGCAGTTTTGGCTGGGTAAAAATGTTCATTACGATAACACAGCACGAAGAACGCACTGCAAAAAGGAAAAGGCTGTGAAGCTGTGAATAACGCTCTTGCAGTATGAAAATGTTACTCTAGAAATATTGAATTTACTGATAGCTCTTTTCAATCTCCCGGACGAATGCTATTACAATTGTGAGCAAAGTACGATGGCCATCGCTTTTACATATATGTCGCAGTATAACGCGTACAGTATAGATTTGTTCAAACTACAACTTTGCAGAAAGAAACCTCGGGTTTCCACAAATCCTGATTTCTTGGCCTTGACGATTGATCAAGATTACTTTCACATCTATATATTTGCGGTTCGATGGCAGTCTGAAAGAAAACTGATCCTTTTATACTTCCTTAATCAGACCTATATCAAGGTTCCAAAGGTTCCACTTCTGTAACACGTCTCTTAGTAAAATGATTAATTTCAGATACAACATGGAACAATAATATCAAATTACAAGGTCATGTTGGTACACGAAGTGGTGTATACGATGTGAATTATTCTATTGGTTTAAACTATATTTCTGTCATTGCTGATTCATCTACGTACTGTTATCAGTACATGGAGATTACTTGTCAAGGTTCGATACTGACGAAAGACAGTGGTTGGAGAACACGTGATGGATCTTTGGCAGATTATTTTTTTGGTGGTGTTAAAGGTCAAATGAACTGTGCGTGTAAGAAAGATAACTCGTGCTATAATGGTTTAGACTGTAATTGTAACGCGGGCGACTCAACAGAAAGACAGGATAAAGGATATGCTACATATAAAGATGATTTACCAATTACAGCATTTTTAAGTGGAAATACAGGTATGACTCTTTATTATAAAAATATCATTTTCGTTGACATATATATTATTTATATGAATGTCCACAAGTTGCACCTACAGGGAAGGTTCCAAACACCACTTATATGAAAGACTCAGCAAAATATACATGTCGAGAAATCCATTTAAGCCACTCGATTTTAAGGTAAGAAATTGGCATCAATTTGAAATGATCATATGAATAAAATCATGGTTTCTTTATTTCATTTCAGATGACCCTGGCGATTACTATTACGTTCAAATATGTAGTCTCACATGTGTAGGGATGTTATCATGATGAGAACAAAAACTTTGAACTGATTGAAACTATAAGTATATGAACATAGTACATTCAATATACTGCAATGATACTGAAACTTATTTAAAAGCCTGAAGAACATGTTTCTGCTGTGATTTGAACATTCAGAAAAAGTACACCCACAATCAGCAAACAAATAGTAGCCTTACAACGCGCAATAGTTCGTGGAAAACTATTGTGTTATCGACTACAAAGCTTTAGTTGTTTTTCCCCTTAGCATTTAGGATTTTATGCATAACCCATGAATTCAGTGAGGTAAAAAATGACTTCCCAAATAGATGTACTTATATAGACGATAAGGTTAACCTGTAGACAAGACTAAAACACCTTGTAACGGACTAATTTGGTATTCACGTCAGTCGTTTCATCCCAGTGGCAGATATTTTGAGTGAAGAAGTGGGAAGGTTATTATAATGAACGTGGCATATCAGACATCGGTTGTCTAGGATCGGGCATTTGGAGGCTTGTACGTCATTTGCAACATTAGAAGTGATGTCTTTCCTCCAAGGCTCTCATTCAGGTCTGGCACTGCTTATCATATATGTTCTGATATTTCTATCACAAGGTTATATATCGGTGCAGCTGAAGAATTTAACTGATCATTAGAATTTCAGCTCTGATTGCACTTAAAGTCGTCACTCCTCCTATAGTTTAAATTTTGAACTAAAATGAGTTTTACTTCCGACTCTTCTGCACAAAATTTGGCCAATGAAGAATGCCAACTTCATGCTGTATATAATGAGGGAAATTTTTCTACTAGTCCAAATACAATCATTATTTTTGTGGACATCTTTACACAAAATGTCGTAGAGGAGAAGCACTTATTTCTGAAATAATAAATGTCTTCAGAGAGAACAAGATGGTGAATTTCACTATCTATAGGATCATCTCGCTTTTTTTGTAGGTCAACTTTTTTTGTTGTTGCTCAAATTTCTCAAAAATCTTCAAGAGTGTAACGAGCTATAAAGAACCAAACACTAAAACTAGGTCAAACTTTCTAATTTACCGTAGTACCCTCCGTTTTTGATTAACCCTTTTAAAACAAATTCAATTTGATCAAAAAGATAAAAAGCATACTTTAAAAATATATTCAGGTATAATAATAAAACATTTTTAATTTTACGAATTTATGAATAAGATAGAAACTACATATATATTATGTGAGAAGAAATGTCAGAGACGAGAGCTTATTTATCTTGCCGAGGATAGTGTCTGTTATTATGAAAAAATGGAAAAGAATAAAGTACGGAAAAAATTAAACATTAAAACTGAGACAAAAACTAATTAACAAATGAACTTTACTAAATCACTCAAAAACAGGAACAGGAACATCTTGTTTAAAAATTGAAATTGTGTTATTTTTCTCCTAAATTCAAAGTCCAAAAACATGTCATCTACAATGGTTACCACTGGTTTTACACGCTAATACTACGACTGCGGCGACCTTAACACTCCTTGCTCTCTGGGAAAAAAATACGTCGAAATATCAACGCAGTAAGACAGGGCTATTTACAAGACAGTAAGATTTTTAGTAGGTTGGGAAATAATTAACAAGACAGTAAGATTTTTAGAAGGTTGGGAAATTTAGGTGCTGGAATTAACGAAAACAATAGACCAAAATCTAGATAAATTAAAAACTAGAAAAGCAAATCGAAAAAATATTTAATGAGTTATTGACAGATAGAGCAAACCTGGTGGTAAGTATGTAATCACTCTAGGATAAGCCCTATTGAAAATCTAAAAAACCAATGAGTTATTGTCGATGTTCTTGAAAACACGTTTAATTTTGTAGTCTCGAAGGCTTATTTCTTGACGGATTTTGACTAAACTTGGCGAAATTGTTTATTATAACACAAGGATGAACCATATTGAAAAAAAAATCGAAAAACATTTTATGAGTTATTGCCCTTGTCCTCGAAAACAAGTTCCATTTTTTAACTTGTAAACAGCCTAGAAGGCACATGTAATATCATGTAAGAAAACTATTTTCAAGTACAAATTTACATTGTTTTTAATAAGTGTTTATTATTTAGTTCGATCAAGCTGAACAATTTCAAGATTGTTTCGTTGTTGCACGTTTTAATATTTTCAAGGATGATTGAAAATTTTCTCTTCAAGTTAGTGATTATTATTAGTTAGACCAAGCTGAACAGTTGCAAGATTGTTTCGTTGTTGCATGTCTTATGTCAAAAACATTCCAAAATTATGTGTATATTTATGTATGAATAAAATATTATGTGCATCAACAAGATCTAGAGAGTCATGAGTTTGAAATCAGTAATTAGTCAGGTATATAATTTTGTATGCATGTCTAAACAAATAAATTTTAAAATTACCGTAATCATGGTAGCATAATAACATGAACGTTGTGTAGGACACTATGTATACCCGAACATCATATGTTTATTTTTTTGTTATTACAATACGAGGTATTCATTTTGGTTAATAACATCTTATTCTCTTCTACGGTGATAAGAAAATCGGGGTTGCTACAAACGTACATTATTAAGAAAACGAGAGGGGGGGAAATCGAAAAAAACTTATAATCCACTTGTTGCTGTTTTAAAAAAGATATTTTGAAAATTCTTAAATATGCTGGATATTTGTAGCTCGAAAATTTTAAATTTAAGACAATGTGAAAATTGTCGGAATCGTATATCAAATCTAAAAGATGAAGCTTATTGAAATGTTTTTTTTCCATTTCGGGCAAGGGAAGGTCGTTGATTCTCTCGATCGTACGGTACAGTTCTAGAGGACATGTCTAACGAATGTATTTTAACAAAAACTGCCAGTAGGCGTATGTCGCTTTGTCTGAAAATCACGAGAAGTATATATTAATAAAATCTTGCCTCTTGAAGTCTTGAAATCTACCTAGAGATTGGAGTTATTTTTTTACAAAGATGATTGGTTTCGTCCTGTCGTTCATACTTTGCAATTCGTTTATATAATTATACCTTTTAAAGCTATACTTTTGACAGACTTTTATTGAATTTTTAAGTTCCAAGCTATAATACTGTATATTCCTGGTTCCTAGTGTGGGTTTCTTTTCATCCCCTGAGGTGTAAGGTGCGACTAACCATTGTAGGAGAAGAATTATAAAGTTTCAGGATTTCTGGTGCCCTTCAACACGACGAACTCGAGCGAACCTCGACACTTTAGTCACAGGAATTGTCGACACTGTTCCTATATATTTGGACTGCTGTTGCACGGAAAACAACAGTCTTTATGAATGAAAAATCATAGGATTTACAATGTTTTGATTGTTATGGAAATGCGTTCAATCTGTAGCTTGTAAATACTCGAGAAGGCACAATTCTTAACGATTTGAACCGATCGATGAACCCTATCACAATATAACTTGTTCTTTAGCTAGTAAATGTAAAAGGCACAATTATTGATAAATTTTGATAAATTTACATAAAACCTGATAAAAACCATTTAGAAACCTCATTAAAAGTGTTGAAAAATATGTAATTAGTTATTTTCCTTCTTTTTTGAAAGGGGTTTTATTTCAAGCTTGAACACACTCTTCAGTTCGTGGCAGATGTTACGGAATGCAAACGATGATTTTAAAATACACCTTGTAACA